GTGAAGTTCAGGTGGCCATCGGGAAGGCGAAAGCCTCCAAAGCCATGGGTCCCGACGGAATATGCATGCTGATGCTGAAAAATTTGGGTCCTGCGGGAGTAGCGTACCTAACGGAGGTCCTCAACCTGTCAATGGCCACTCTCATCATCCCAGACATCTGGAAGGTGGGGAGAGTGGTCCCACTGCTCAAACCGGGGAAACCCGCCAACAAAGGAGATTCGTATCGTCCGATTACACTCCTTTCCCCGGTAGCGAAGACACTCGAGGCCTTGCTACTCCCGTACTTCACAAACCACCTGACCCCAGCGAAGCATCAGCATGGTTTCCGTAAAGTGCACAGTACAACAACAGCACTTAACGCCATAAACACTCAGATAACTCGTGGCCTTAACCGAAACCGTCCCTGTGAGAGAACGATTCTAGTAGCGTTGGACTTGTCAAAGGCGTTTGACACCGTCTGCCATTCCACGCTGCTAGAAGATATAGAGGCCTCCTCTCTCCCACAGAGGCTCAAACGGTGGTCGGCAAATTATCTGAGTGGTCGACATTCGTCGGTATTATTTAGAGACAAAACGAGTAAGCAGCGAAAAATAAAACAGGGGGTTCCTCAGGGTGGTGTCCTTTCCCCGCTACTGTTTAACTTTTATATTTCAAAGCTCCCTCAACCACCAGAGGGAGTCTCGATTGTCTCCTATGCCGACGACTGCTCGATCATGGCGACTGGGAATGGAATTGATGACCTGTGTTTGAAAGTAAACGGCTATCTCTCCGAACTTTCTCGCTTCTTCACTGCAAAGTGTCTAGCCCTCTCCCCTACGAAATCCTCCGCGACCCTGTTCACAACCTGGACGAAGGAGGTCAGGCTACCGCTGGGGATTCACGTCGATGACACACCAATTCCGACGGTGAATAACCCCAAAATACTCGGAGTAACATTCGACAGCCTGCTCTCCTTCTCTGCACACTCAACCGCTATTGTCAATAAAGTACAGAGCCGCAACAAGGTCCTCAAGTCGCTAGCCGGCAGTACTTGGGGCAAAGACAAAGAAACGTTGCTGGCAACATACAAGGCAATAGGCCGGCCGGTTTTGAACTACGCAGCGCCAGTGTGGTCGCCAGGGACTAGTAGGACGCAGTGGACGAAGCTACAGACTGTACAGAACACCGCACTCAGGACAGCGACAGGATGCCTCCTGATGTCGCCTGAACACCACCTGCACGGCGAGGCGCAAATGCTCCCAGTTAAGGAGCATAATATAATGCTCTGCAAGCAGTTCCTGATCTGGAGCCACAGAAGTGGCCACCCAAGCAGACAGCTGCTTGCAGAGGAGCCCTCGGCACGTCAGGAGGCATCTATATGAACTGACGGACGTAGTCGAGAGGTTCATTAAGCAACCTCTGGACCCGACAGCGTACAGACAGGCCCTGAACGGCATTCACAGGGACTCAGTCTCGAGTTATGTAGACTCTAGACCTGTGAATGCCGTTCTAGGCATACCACCCCCGGACATAGACGAGACAGAGCTTCCTAGGGTTGCCGTTAGTGGAACTTGACGACAACGTAGGTAGGAACAGTCAAGTCCTTTACTCGAGTGGATTTGGGGAACTTTAATTTTTCATATAGATATTTGGGTGCCTTATCTGTCATGAGACGAAAATGGAATACACAATTTCTAGCTTAAAGATATTCAGAAATTTCAGAGCCAAGTAGGCGCGTTCTCCAAGCGGAAATATGTTCATATTTTGCTAGCCCAAACACATAGCGTGTGATCTGGTTAAATACTACATCTATTTTGTGAGCTGATTGGGAATCTAACCTGCTGTAGACTACCTCAGAATAACAGATAATTGGCATTATAAGTTGGATTGCGAGTTTACGTCTGATTTCTATCGGTGTAAATGAAGCGGACATTCGTAAATTCCTTAAAGTATTATAGACTTTGCCTACAGTTGAATTCACATGGTCAATGCAGGTAAGGCCAGTGTTGATAATAAACCCAAGGTTAGTTACTTTTGACACAAATTTAATTGGTTTGCCACCAATGTGTAACGATGGAATAGTTGCTAGGTTAAGACGTTTCTTACAAATAGGTAAAACAAAACACTTGTCCCAATTAAGACGAAGACCATTTAACTGTGCCCAGGACCTTATAGACATCAGTTCTCTGTAGTAGTTTTTTAATTTAAAGCACAGCAGTTCATGGCTAACTGAATCAAAGGCTTTACTTCTCAGCAAGCATAGTAGTGTTAAGTGGTTCTTGTCGAACAGTATTCTAATGTCATCAAGTATCTTTACCATTGCAGTAGAGCAGCTGTGATGGGGTCGGAATCCGGATTGAAATGGGGATATAAGGTTGAATTTACCGATGAGGGAAGAGATTTGTTCAGATAACAAAGATTCGAAAACTTTAGACAAGGCTGGTAGTATGCTGATGGGTCGGAAATCACTAGGGCTGGATGCGGATTTATTTTTGGCTACAGGAAGCACAGTAGCAATCTTCCAGGCATCGGGAAAACAGGACGTGGTGAGACTATGGTTTATTATGTGTGTCAAGGTTGGCAAAATAATCGGTAAGATTACCTTCACAAATCTAATCGGAATGCCGTCCTCCCCGATTGCGTTGGACCTGATCTTAAAAACAGATTTCACCACATCAATCTCGCTCACAGCAATGAACTCAAACTTTTCGCCAGCAAAAGAGACCGGACAGGAGGCTACAGAATTGGTCGTAAGGGGACAAGATGAAGGCGGAAAAGCAAAGGCAACGCTAAGCATTTCAGGACTCAACGAGCATTCTGATTTCGCCACAATACATTATTAGGCAGTGAGGGATCCAGCTTATTCAAAAAGAATTTTTTCTTTTCACGTCTTATAACCGAGGTAGCTTCATTCCTTATTGTTTTGAAAGCACTCCAGTTCTCATCTGTCGGGTTCCTTTTCCATATGTTATAATATTTATTGCGTTTTTTAATCACTGATAGGACCACACCATTAAACCAACGGCAGGAAGAAGACCTGTCACAGGTTCGGGTAGGGACATGAGTGAGGAGCGAATTTAATATATTTTCGTTTAGGAAACGGAGCTTCTCATTGACCGTGCTGAGACCCCAGCAAACAGACCAATCGATCTGCAAGAGGCTACTGAAAAGGTTGTTGACATCTAAGGAACGGTAGTCAAAGAAGTTAAATACATAGGTATTGTCGTCATAGTGATCAAGTTTAACGTCAAAAGAACAAAATATCAAGTCATGATCAGATATAAAAGATGTTTGGTCAAATTTCAAAACAATAGAAGGATCAGATACAGCAAAGTAATCTAATAAGCTGGGACAGCAATTGCTACCATATCTTGTGGGCACCGACAAATTAACCATAGACAACCCAACACAGGAGATATCATCTATTAAACGAGCACTGGTAGAATCAGGACATAACAGGTTCACATTAAAATCACCACAAAGAATTATATGGTCATAATCTACAGAAACAGTGGACAGAAAATTAAAAAAGTCACATAGGCTGAAATACTTATAGGGATTATACACACAAGACAATAGGATTTTGGACGAGGGGCTAGACATTTCGACAGACAGGTACTCCACGCAGCTTCTTTCTGAATGTGACTGCGAAACCTGTTTGGTTTTTAGGTGCTTTTTGCAGTAAATAGCAACTCCACCACCTTTTCTATCTACCCTATCAGAACGAAACAACTTATAACCATTAATATCATAATGGACACTGCTTACATTGTACCTGAACCACGTCTCAGATACACATATAACATCGACTGGAGACAATTCAAAAGTGTTCCTTACTATATCCATTTTCTCAGAATTAAGACTGCGCGTATTAAAATGAACAATGTTCAAACCAGTTTGTTGACCGCACATAATGTTCACCATTGCACGACTACAATTGTCAATGTTAGCCGTTTTGCTGCTGGGTACAACCATGATATATTTACGCGTATAAACAAAAGCAACTTTAAAGTATAAAGGATAACAATATTAAGAACAAACAAACATAAACTGAGATGTGCCAACTTTACAACAATGAATACATAACAGAGGGAACATAAAAACAAAATCTTATACCTAACGAAAGCGCGCTAAATCATCTTCGCAGGTTAATTTGATAGCGGGGCTATTTTTGTCTTTTTCATTTCTTACGTGCACTTCGCCTCGCATTGTGTATACCTATACCAGCTTACCCTCTCTGCGTAGTTTGATAGCCTCTTGTAGTAAGCGCCTTTTCTCTTGAGTGAGACTCTCAAATATGTGGAAAGTTCCATCCATTCCAATGGAGCTTAATGACACTGCAGATCTAGCTCGCCTGCGATACTCCCCAAAACCGCGAAGGGTGCGATTGCGATCATGCGGGGAGTGAAATTTAACAACAATCACGCCGTTGCGGTTGGCAGTGGGGCGCGTTCGGAAGATGTCGCGAATTTGTGGAGACATGAAATCGATGGAGAGACAAATCTGGTTACATATGCTCTTTAGGTTCTCCCCATCCGCATAAGGCACACCAAACACGCCAGCATCGGCAGAAATATCAGGAGTAGGTTTTTGTTGTAGTGCACTAGAAACTTGCTGTTGTAGGTAGGCAATATCGCTTTCAGCCTTCTTCATATTAGCTTCCATCAAAGTTAAGCGCGTAGTCGTCTCAGTAACTTTCTCAGCAAACACAGCTATCTCATCATCTATTCGCTTTGTTAATTTGTTCTCCAGCTCTGACAATTTCTGAGAGACATTCTCAACTAGCGGCAGCAGATTGTCGGTTTGTTGCTGAATTTTCACTTCGAGTTGTTTTAGTTTTGCAAAGACAGCAATAAGGGTGATGTCTTCATCCAGCTTTACCACTTTAGCAGCAGGGGACTCCTGTCCCCGCAGGGCACGTTTGTTCGCTGCAGAAGAGGTCGATGTACGAACAGACATAGCGAAAACAAAAAACTTCTTAGGGCACTTTATAATTATTTTTATTCCCAGAAAAGGTCAAAGCTTCAATCAGGGTAGCGAAATATCACCAGCACTCTCAAATATGTGTGTATGCGGAAAACGGATTGTTTATTTGTTTGTATGAATGCACGAAAAACTGCCTACTTATTTGTTTGTATGTATGCGCGAAAGCGATTTGTTTATGTGTTCAATATGAACATCCAAGAGCAAAGAAAAACACGTCTGCACAGCACGACGATTTAAACATATGTTCCGCCCCCTTTTTTCGGCAACACAGAAAGGAGAATTCTACGTAGTGAAGGTTATAATCCCTAAGTGCGGCCGAAGGCCGCCTACGCAGAAAGGTATTCTCTGCAAAAGGTGTTCAGCCGCTCTTCTTTGGCAACACAGAAAGGAGAATTCTACGTAGTGAGGGTTATAATCCCTAAGTGCGGCCGAAGGCCGCCTACGCAGAAAGGTTTACTCTGCAAAAGGTGCTGAGCCCCTCTTCTTTGGCAACACAGAAAGGAGAATTCTACGTAGGAGGGTTATAATCCCTAAGTACGGCCGAAGGCTGCCTACGGAGAAAGGTGTTCTCTGCAAAAGGTGTTCAGCCCCTCTTCTTTGGCAACACAGAAAGGAGAATTCTACGTAGTGAGAGTTATAATCCCTAAGTGCGGCCGAAGGCCGCCTACGCAGTAAGGTGTTATCTGCAAAATGTGTTCAGCCCCCCCTTCTTCGGCAACACAGAAAGGAGAATTCTACTAAGTGAAAATTCCGTATTAAAAATCTGCTATTATTCAAAATTTCAGTCTGGCAGCACCAAGTTTTATGTTATTTTGCTATCTTATTCATCGTTTATATGAAAACTTTAACAATAAGTTATATAAGAACTATAGGGTTGCTAGAAAAAAGGGGGGTCTTTTTGAAATCAGGGGGTCCTATTCTACCCCCCTCATCCCCCCCTTTTTCTAGAATTTGCCGTCCGTCTACTAAAATTTTCCCCATGCAAGCAAAGTCAGACGCGTAATTTTGACGGTGTTTTTATTTAATGAATTGTGATTAATTGGTTAATATTGAAGTCATAAAGAAAGTTACAACTAATCAAGTGTAAAGTGAAGGGGAATATAAAAAAATATTGGTGAAGTGGCTGCTTTAAGGAGAATAGCAGTGATAAATGTACGCTAATTTCGGAATTTTACAACAAAGGGCTTATTTCAAATCCAATTTGTAAATAAATTAGTGACCAAAAATTAGTAGGTGTTAAAATAATGTGTGGACCCTTGACTACAAGTGTGTGCAATTTTTTTTTTGGATCGGGTCACCCCTTTGGACGCAATACCTCGAAATAGTTATAGGGAATTTACATGAATCAACTTTCACAGGCGATTAGTTGAACCAAAAGTTGAACGAAAATAGGCAGTCGACCAACTTCATTGAACGCGATTAGTTGAAAAGTCGTTTACACCAGGCGATTGTTGCTTTCAACTAAAAATCGCCTGAAAAATCACCTCATGTAAATTCCCTATTAGGCCACGTACTAAGCAGTATCCGCAAAAACAAAATACATGGGCGCATATTCATAGTCATATTTAGTACTCAACTAAGTCGAGACTATTCTAAGTCACAACTAAAGCTATTCATAGTCGCCTTAGTTTCGACTTTTCTGGCTAAGTACCGACTTAAATTTAGTTTCCGCTGCAGCTGCAACTAAGTCGTAACTAGGAAGAAGTATTTTGACGTAGAATACGGCTTACCTTACGATATGGAGGCTATGCTGAAATGTTGTAGTTGTAATTTTTAGAGCTTCCCGAAAACGCTTATTGCATGAGCACTAACGAAGCGATTTCAAAGAATAGTATGCCATCATTCCCACGACAGCCGGTTCTACGTACCGGAATGACTCGGGTTTTACCCGACCAAGGGCTGTTGTTTCGGCGATCTAGCCCCGTTTAGGTCGGCGAAGTATCTCAGAAGTTGTCCGTCCATAGGGCTATATTCACTACGTATTCTCCTACTCAGGGCTGGCATCGAGTCAAACCCAGGGCCAGAAACCTACACCTGCTGTGTATGCCGGAGACGATTACACCACAACTCCACCTCAGTCAAGTGTAATGCCTGCGAGGGGTGGAGTCACCTCAGAGTCTGCTCGGGACTACGGACGCACAGACAGTGGACCACGTCGTACGTGGCCCCCTGTTGCTCAAACAGAGCAGCCTCCACGGCAAACAATAGTCCGCCCGTGCAGCCCCACACACTCACACAGCAACCACACACAGTCGCCACAACACAACAACATAATAACACCACAGACCGTACCACAGCCACCACAGACCACATAACACACACAACCGCACCACCACCCACACGCCGCCGCCAACAACTCCTGGTTCCCCCTACAATCTGCACGGTATGTC